CACCCACCACTCACTCAGCCACTCACACAGCCACTCACTCAGCCACTCACCAGCCACTCACCCAGTCACTCACCAGCCACTCACCCAGCCACTCACTCAGCCACTCACCCAGCCACTCAAACAGCCACTCACTCAGCAACTCATCCAGCCGCTCACCCAGCCACTCACACAGTCACTCACCCAGCCACTCACACAGTCACTCACTCAGCCACTCACCCAGCCATTCACACAGCCACTCACTCAGCACTCACCCAGCCACTCACACAGTCACTCACTCAGCTACTCATCCAGCCACTCACACAGCCACTCACCAGCCACTCACAAGTCACTCACTCAGCCACTCACACAGGCACTCACTCAACCACTCACTCAGCCACTCACAAAGTCACTCACTCAGCCTCAGCCACTCACTCAGCCACTCACCCAGCCACTCACCCAGCCACTCACCAGCCACTCACACAGCCACTCACTCAGCCACTCACCAGCCATCACCCAGCCACTCACTCAGCCACTCACAACAGCCACTCACACAGCCACTCACTCAGCCACTCACCCAGCCCATTCTCCCAGTCACTCACTCAGCCACTCACCCAGCCACTCTCCCAGTCACTTACCCAGCACTCACACAGCCACTCACACAGCCACTCACTCAGTCACTCACACAGCACTCACACAGCCACTCACACAGCCACTCACTCAGTCACTCACACAGCCACTCACTCAGCCACTCACTCAGCCACTCACCCAGCCACACACAGCCACTCACACAGTCACTCACACAGCCACTCACCAGCCACTCACACAGTCACTCAGCACCACCCAGCCACTCACACAGCCACTCACACAGCCACTCACCAGCCACTCAACAGTCATCAGCCACTCACCCAGCCACTCACACAGCCACTCACTCAGCCACTCACACAACCACTCACTCAGCCACTCACCCAGCCACTCACACAGCCACTCCACAGCCACTCCCAGTCACTCACCCAGCCACTCACTCACCCACTAACCCAGCCACTCACCAGCCACTACACAGCCACCACACAGTCACACACAGCCACTCACACAGTCACTCACACAGCCACTCACACAGCCACTCACCCAGCCACTCACACAGTCACTCAGCCACTCACCCAGCCACTCACACACCCACTCACACAGCCACTCACCCAGCCACTCACACAGTCACTCAGCCACTCACCCAGCCACTCACACAGCCACTCACTCAGCCACTCCACACAGCCACTCACACAGCCACTCTCCCAGTCATCACCCAGCCACTCACTCACCCACTCACCCAGCCACTCACTCAGTCACTCACTCACCCATTCACACAGTACTCAGCCACTCACCCAGCCACTCACACAGCCACTTACACAGCCACTCACCTAGCCACTCACACACTCACACGCCACTCACTCAGCCACTCACGCAGCCACTCACCCAGCCACTCACACAGTCACTCACCCAGCCACTCACACAGCCACTCACCCAGCCCCTCACACAGCCACTCACACAGCCACTCACTCAGCCACTCACACAGCCACTCACACAGCCACTCACACATCCACTCGGGTGGTGGAGGGTTACGACACATTTCTAAATAGCGCGATCTAAACCCAAAAACGTTGATTATGCTCACCCATTGCTCCACTGCCACTCCCCAAATCGCTCAGCCGGTCACCCATCTCCGATCCACCCATTCTCAACCAGCCGTGGATAAAACATCGTGGACGATGATGGAAGATGGGCCATGGAGATAGAGAGACGCGCGTTTGGAATAATTTAAACTATTTAATATTTTCTAAGACAATGCTATATTATCAGAGTAGGGTTTTTTTTTGCATTCTGATCACAAGCATTGTGGTTAATGCGGACGTGATTCCTTGTAAAAGGTTTCAATTTGGTGTTTTAACAACTTAACGCAGCTGTTTTGTTTCCAGACTAAAGCGGAAAAACCTATCTCATATTTTGGTACTGGCAAAGGAGGTCCCATGATGTAGATGCTCTACCCCGAGCTCTCATTACTCTGATGGTGGCATTGTCTTTGTGCTGTGTACGCCGTTTGGCATCCTCTGGTCTAACACCGTTTGAGACGAGGCTCAAAGAAGCTGTCTCTGGTGTGGACCAATCAGTTTCAAGAACAATGCATTTATTATCAGAGTAGTTTTTTTGTTTACATTTTGACCGCAATCATTGTGGTAATGCAGACATCATTCCTTACTAAAGATTTCAGTTGGGTGTTTTAAATCTTTACAAAAGAAAGTTGTCTCTGCTGTAGACCAATCAGTTTCAAAGACAATGATTATCAGAGTACTTTTTTTATTTGCATTTTGACCGCAATCATTGTGGTTAATGCAGACATGATGCCTTGTAGAAAGGTTTCAGTTGGGTGTTTTAACATCTTTACAAAAGAAAGTTGTCTGTTGTGGACCAATCAGTTTCAAAGACAATGCATTTATTATCAGAGTACTTTTTTTAATTTGCATTTTGACCGCAATCATTGTGGTTAATGCGGACGTGATGCCTTGTAGAAAGGTTTCAGTTGGGTGTTTTAACATCTTTACAAAATAAAGTTGTCTCTGCTGTAGACCAATCAGTTTCAAAGACAATGCATTTATTATCAGAGTACTTTTTATTTGCATTTGACCGCATCATTGTGGTTAATGCGGACGTGATGCCTTGTAGAAAGGTTTCAGTTGGGTGTTTTAACATCTTTACAAAAGAAAGTTGTCTCTGCTGTAGACCAATCAGTTTCAAAGACAATGCATTTATTATCAGAGTACTTTTTGTTTGCATTTTGACCGCAATTATTGTGGTTAATGCACACATCATTCCTTGATAAAGGTTTCAGTTGGGTGTTTTAACATCTTTACAAACGAAAGTTGTCTCTGCTGTAGACCAATCAGTTTCAAGGACAATGCATTATTATCAGAGTAGTTTTTTTGTTTGCATTTTGACCGCAATCATTGTGGTTAATGCAGACATTCCTTGATAAAGGTTTCAGTTGGGTGTTTTAACATCTTTACACGGCTGTTTGTAGCCAGAAAAAAGGGGAAAAAACCTATTCTCATATTGTGGTACTGGCAAAAGAGATCCCATGATGTAGCTGCTCACCCAGAGCTCTCATTACTCTGATGGTGGCTTTATCTTTGTGATGTCCGACTTTTGGCGTCCTCTGGTCTAACACCGTTTGAGACGAGGCTCAAAAGAAAGGCGTCTCTGGTGTGTGGACCAATCAGTTTCAAGGACAACGCATCTATTATCAGAGTGTGTTTTTATGTTTTCATTCTGACCACAAGCATTGTGGTTAATGCACACATCATTCCTTGATAAAGATTTCAGTTGGGTGTTTTAACATCTTCACACAGCTGTTTTGTTGCCAGATAGAAGGTGAAACCTATTCTCATATTTTATTTTATCTTACCAGGTTAGGCCCCACTGAGCTGCCAATTTGGCTCTTTCACAGAAGCGACGTGGCTTTCGCTAATGACGGCTCAACGATTTTGTGGGTTCATCACGTGAAAATGTATCGCAGCCGAATGCCGCTCAACGCGTGTTTATAAATGCCGAGGGAAAAAACGGAGGACCCGGAGAAAAATCCACGCGACCACGGGGAGAGAGAGAGACAGAGACGCAAACTCCAAATATACAGCAGTAGGCTTCGTCAGGGTCGGGATCGACCCACGACCTCCTGTGTGCCAAGAGAGGTAGTCAACATCTCCTAGCCACCGTGATGATGATGAGAGAGAGAGACACGCAAACTCCAAATATACAGCAGCAGGCGTCAGGGTCGGGATCGAACCCACGACCTCCTGTATACCAGGCGAGGTAGTTAACATCTCCTAGCCACTGTGATGATGAGAGAGAGAGACACGCAAACTCCAAATATACAGCAGCAGGCGTCAGGGTCGGGATGGAACCCACGACCTCCTGTGTACCAGGCGAGATAGTTAACATCTCCTAGCCACCGTGATGATGATGATGAGAGAGACACCGCAAACTCCAAATATACAGCAGCAGCATCATCAGGATCGGGATCGAACCAACGACCTCGTGCTTCTGGGTTCGACACGAGGCGGCGGGTGTGCTCAACGCGACGCGTTAACCGAAGCGCCACCGCTCCCCGACGCCGATTCAATCATTG